ATATATATATATATATATATATATATATATATATATATATATATATATATATATATATATATATATATATATATATATATATATATATATATATATATATATATATATATATATATATATATATATATAAACAAGCTGTCACAAAAGTACCTGTGCATGGACTGTCATAGCCCGCGGTGTGTGTCCTACAGGCACTTGGTGAGCCAACTCCTGGATGCGCAATTCCTGGTACTTTACAAACCGTGACCCTCTGATCAGCAGAGATAGCTTGGCCTTTGATCGACTACCACTCTCACTACAGTTCTCCCCTGGACAGAACTGCAGGGGCATGAATTGGGGCGTGGTGACCTGTGTACAGTACAGGAAGATAAGGTATTGGCATGGATGAGCAACAGGTCGACAAATGTACAAAATGGCTACGGTGTGTGCGTGATGGACATCAATGGAAAAGTATGTGTGTCTGTGAGATGAGCGTGGCGATCGTTTTGCAATTGTGGGGCTAGCAAGCTTCGTAAGGGAGCGATTGCGAGACACTAATCGGGTATATGCCATATGCTCAGCTGTGAGCAATGACCCAATAATATCGTCTAGCCTGCAGCTCAAATTTATGGTGTGCTTTGTTGCGCTGTCTGTAGTGTGTTTGTAGATGTGTATTCCCAGACAAAATGCTTCCGACAATACAAAACAAATAAGTGCTACAACGGCAACCACACGTTTACGACAGGTCTGCAAGTATATATAGCAGACAAACGCAGCACGAGAAATGATGAAGCCATACAACATACCCTCTGGATGGTCTCTCCCTCACATAGGGCACATCTATATACAGCGTATGTAAGCTTCGGCTTAACATCCGTTGTTCGTGTTACGATCGCTTTCACCTTGACCAAGCTACCGATGTGGCTAGCTTTGAGCTGTGAGGAATAGTGCGAGAAATGTGGCAATCAGGCACTATAGTCAGAAGCTCGCACGGTAATACTGCGTTGCACTGTCAGTTGTTCAACTGACGGAAAATTGACCACAGTATACTTTAGAGTTTGACGCCCTTTTGATTGAACTGAATTGACATCGGACTTCATAATCCAAGCGCCTATTACCAAAGCAGAGCTACCATGCCGTAGTATTTGCTCGTGGTCTAAATAGGCCCACACACGTGTTTACAACTAGGACACAATCAAACGTAAAGGTAGGATGTCGACTAAGAGAGTACACTGATTCGTAATTTAGATCGTATGAAGTGTCACGCCGACTTACGTTTCTGACGGTGATTTGTTTGCCCTCACTCGGTGGTTGAAAGACGACCGAGCTGAATATATGGTAAAGTGGTCAAGTGAGAATGCAGTATGGTACTAAACATAATTCGGACTGCTGAAAGTATAGGTCGCGCACCACGGATATTCCAGCATGCAATTGCAACTGCGGATATGGTGACCAAGTTAACATGCTGTCGTCTTCATAGTGAACAACACTGAGCGTCCATAGGATTGCCAATGAAGTCGACGACTGAGGAGGAGAAGTCTTCTATGACAATCCTGTCAACTAACAACCATAGTCTAGATAGAGATCCCGTTACACGCGCCCTCCGGTATGCTGACTACTCAATGAACAATAAATATATATATATATATATATATATAACATAAATACATACATGAGCGCAATATAAGCTACTTACAATCGACGGAAGAGTGCGGCATCGGCGTTGTGGCCATTCTCTACTGCTTCCATGCGCCGGTGCTCGATGATGACATCCTCTGAAGTACTGTTGATGGGATCGAATTCTTCGGTGGGTTCCGGTAGAAGTGCGTCTATCTGCTGACAGAACAGTGTTTCGTATCGTAGAATGTTCTGCTGTGTGCGCTCGGAGAAGTCGTCGCCCAGAAACTGATATTAAGCAATTGGGTGGAGAGTGTTTGAGAGTACAGTACATTGCTAGATAGATAAGATTGAGTGTTTTCCTGTGTACTGCGTCGGCTAGGAAGTTATGCCGCTTCGAGTGTGATATACAAACATAGGGATCGGAGTAGTGTGAAAAGTGAGCATGCAAAAGAATCACTCCTTAGGGTGACATGTCAGGCCGATCGCTTGTGAAGGTGAATTCACATTTGTTCATTGGAAACGAAGAAAGTCCCTCTTTGGACTATGAAAACATCTGCATCTGACCGGTAATCGTTGTCCACATTCTGCGGCCACAAAGTGCAAAACGCGCGCATTTCAGACGTAATTGTCTAGGATTGACGGTGTCATAATGCGAGATGAGTACTCGTACAAGCAATAAAAAGATAGCACATGCAGGCTGACCTTTCGAAATCAAGTACAGGAGGTAAGATTGGGCAAGCTACATACACAGGTGTCAGCTTCCGCGACTTTCCAGAACGCATCATATACTTTCTGCGCGTATACTATATTCACGAGTCAGTATAAAATTCGTGCTTGTTGCAAAATCGTATCGAACACAAAAACCCAGTCTTTGTAAATCAGAGCACCGACGACTACACTACACTGTATATACTTGCATGCATTAAAAATCAAAGGATGTCACGGTGCGCATACATAAGTCAAACCTGAAAATCACGTATGTATGTAGTCTAAAACTTCAGCACAACATAGACCAATCGCTCACCGTGTCAATATCATCCAAAGACACTGGCAATTGTTTAATTTTCGGTTGGCCACATCCGTCTGGAAGAGAATTTGTATATAAGTATGAGATGGAAACCGTGTTTATGTTTGCATGGGATAGACACTGACTCCGCGATAAGAGCAGACAAATCGTTTTATCTTTGAGCCTCTACGCTTAGAAAGTTTTCTTACATGTCATTCAAGAGTCATATACACGTACAAATGAGAAAGGAATGCAATGAAAAGAAATGAATTAGCGCGATACCGCCGAAGGGATGTGCAGACCAGCACACGAAAAAGATACTTAGCAAAACGTGTAGCAGATGGGACGTCAACACATACCATGAGCTCCATATACTTCTTGTGCTGTGTGCCATCTCTATCGGTTGACACGAAGTCAGTGAGGAATCGTTTTATCTCGTCTGGATGGGGTGATGAACAATCAGCATGTGAGGTTGTGCTGGCAGGCACTCACTGAAAGATTACTTCCACTATTGAACAGAATCAAACAAGATTCTTCTATGGAAAATCAACCGGCAGTCCGAAAACGCAAATAACTTCCAATATATTATATATATATATATATATATATAGTAGTATATATATATATATATATATATATATATATATATATATATATATTGTGTATATATATATATTATTATTATATATATATATATATATATATACACACACACACAATATATATATATATATATATATATATATATATATATATACAAACGTATATACATACATACATACATACATACATGCAAGCATACATACATATATACTTACGTACCTGAGGGTCTAATGCTGCTGTGGTTGTTTGCGTATTGACATCCGTGGCGGGGACAGCAGAGTTCTGAACTTCATCACGAGTGCTAGGTTGATTATTGGAAAGCTGGTTCACTAAGGGATGGCGCATAGCGGAAAGTGGAAGCTGCGATATGCGATTTATTACACTGTATTGTCGGACTTGAATCTGGATACTGTTGATAGCTTGGAAAAGATATTCTTATATATTTATTTGTAATAATAACTTTATAGCCTTCTTCTATTTATACATGGCCTTTTGAATTATATATAAAGATGGGGTCTACTTTCTACCGTCTACTTACAGGTATTATAACATACAACTTCATATAAATAGGAACAAGGAGAGGCTATGACAAATATTAATATATATAAAATCATATTTGTATTTACTTTTTGTCTTTTTGACGAAAGATAGGCTTTTTGTCCTTTTAGAGAAGAAGGTTATGTTTTTTTGTTTTTTTTATTAAAAAAAAGAAACAAATGTTTTGTGTCTGTTTTAGAAGGCTTTGTTTTGTCTTTTGGCTTTTTGGATGAAAATATTTTGTTTTCAAAAAACCCTTAGAAAATCTTTTGGAAAAATTCGCTCGCTGACCGCTGTTGTCAGTGGTCACATGTGCGTACGCAATCGTACAAAATCATTAGACGAGAAAGTCGTATCTATTTCAGCGCTCAGAAAAAGTCATGACACTCGCGTTGTCGCAATAGTATACAAAGCTGTGGTGAAGTATCCATACACAATAGAAAGGCATATTAAATGCACGTAGCACCCAACAGAAACATAATCTGAACCGTTTTAAATAGTTAAATATCGGTAAGTTGATACTAGTTCATTATGGTACGTTCTCGCAAGCTGAAGATGGCGTCCATTTGGGACGAGCCCACTCTACTGGAGGAGCTCAATGAGTTGTACGTCAAACAGCCCGAAATTCTCGCGGCCAAGATACACAAGCACTTGCTGACCACTGAAGGCATCACTGACCTCACATCAGTAGCCACCATTCAGGACATGCCTAAAGGTGTGTCTGAGATGGTTGTATCGAAGTTTACTCTCATGACCACTACTGTAGTGGAGGCAGTGACCTCGGGCGATAATGCCGTGACTAAGCTGGTCATACAGCTACAAGACGGGCTCAAGGTAGAGACGGTTATCATTAGACACGGTGCTGTCACTGCACACAACCCTCACGGCGAGAAGCGAACCACTTTGTGTGTGTCTTCGCAGGTGGGGTGCAAGATGGGATGTACGTTCTGCGCGACTGGAACTATGGGCGAGATAGGAGATTTGTGTGCGGGTGAGATCCTAGAGCAGCTGATACATGCCAGACAATGGGCCGAAGTGAGCAACATAGTGTTTATGGGTATGGGAGAACCTTTCAATAACTACAAGCAGGTGGTTTCGGCTGTGAACTGTATGATTGATGGTCGAAGGTTCAAGATCGCACCCAAACGGGTTACCGTGTCGACTGTGGGTGTGATCCCTAAGATATACGCGTTTATCGAGGATTTGCCTATGTGCAACCTTGCGTTGTCTCTGCATGCGCCTGTACAAGAACAGCGGATGACTATTGTACCATCGGCCAAGGCCTTTAAGTTGCCTGCGTTGATGGAGGCCATGGACGAGTATATCAAGCGTACAAGACGAACGGTGCTGATTGAGTATGTGTTGTTGGCTGGTATTAATGATGACGTAGAGACTGCGCACAACCTCGGCAAGCTGCTACAGCCGCGTAAAGACAACGTGACTATCAATTTGATTCCTTACAATACCACTAATGTGTCAGATCCCTACAAACCCCCGGCGTATCCCACAATCCAAGCGTATATTGATATCGTCATGGGTGAATATGGTTGCTACGCAACTGTCAGGAAGGAGATGGGTGGTGACATTGCGGGTGCGTGTGGTCAATTAGTTGTATCGAAAGAGGAGCAGAAAAGCGCCCCCGTGACTACACTAGTTGTCGACCTGGAGGATATGATGGGAAAGGCCCCTAAAAAGACCTCCGGAGCAGCTAAATTCGGCGGTGAGAATGCGCCCCACCAGTCAGGCGCTATTTGGCCCACAAATCAGACGAACAAGAAGAAACAGAAGAGGACTGCCGGAGTACCAGAAAAACGCAAAGAGTCACTTTTAGTAACAAAGAACGCGAGCGGTGGGGTGTGCAAAGCTTTGACAGCTGTGTTGGTCGGTGTGGCTTCCGTGGGCTTAGGCGTAGCTCTGTACGGTGGTGGTGAGTTATAGGTTGTATAGCAATCGTTTATCGCAAAATAGGACACTCATATATAAGGATATACTGTATTTAAGTTCATATTACTAAGGGTTAGTAAAATTCTAGGTTGTGTAGCCAATTATATTAAAATTTAGGTCGATTTTATTAGTATTTCAGCCTGCTTTTGAGGCGACACGCAATAAGTAAATTTCCACATTTCTTGTATTGGGCTATTATCCATGTTTTAATATGATGTTCAAGCAACATCAGCGGATATTACGACAATATTGCACAATATCGGAATATAAGAACTCGAAATTCATCGTTGACGGTTTACTTAACCTGAATGTGTCTTCGTGGTAGTAAATGTTGTGTCTGTCAACGTACTCGTTAGCCGAATTTTCCTCCTATATTGAAGTTTGTTATCTTGGCTTTACCTAGCTGCAAAACAAACAGATTTGGCAGATATATACACTACCTCGAGTGATATTGGAAAGTGAGCGAAAATCTGAAGTAGTATGATGACTTGTATATGATGGAACTTACACACCTAATTTAGTTGAATATTTTCGGCTTAGATTGTCGTCTTGCTTCGATCTGGGGACAAGAAAAGCAGTCCGTGGATACGAAAGTACTGTTTCAGATACTATCGAGGGATTATGTGAAACCCACAAGTTATGTATATGATGGAACTTACACACCTAATTTAGTTGAATATTTTCTGCTTAGATTGTCGTCTTGCTTCGATCTGGGGACAAGAAAAGCAGTCCGTGGATACGAAAGTACTGTTTCAGATACTATCGAGGGATTATGTGAAACCCACAAGTTATAACTGGCTACACATTGTAGTCTTTCGATACAATGATGGTTTCTTCACGTATTCTTTGGCTAAGCCTTCTGATCATACCATAGCTTGTAGACTTGCCTGCACCTGCTTACAAAGCAAGCTTTCTTCGTGCAATTGTAGGCAATTTTCAAGTCTACGGCTCATGCCAATGGATAACACTAAGCTGCCTTCACTATGAGAGTATATATATCTGAATAACAATACAGGGCATTCGTCAAATTTCAGCGATAAACACGGAAGAATTGAGGTGTAGATTGTAGTAAGACTACGACATTTAGTGAGATTTTTTTTTAATGATGAACCAAATACACCTTCTGTCGTCGGGCAAACCCCTACATATTATTAGGACTCTATAGTTAGGTGGCTTCAATAGGCTCTGAGAGCTCCACTTTGTGTACAATCGACACCAAGGTAGCCAATACCAAGGCTTCAGCAAAGGACTAAGTTGGCCAACAGGTCGTATTTGACATCGAATTTATATTGTATTTATTTAAAAGCTCTTAAGCTCGAACGCTTCATATGCGCCGGACGTCTCGGTCTTTCTCTTGTTTGCGAGTGGGTGATTTCTCGTGGATGCTTATTTAGATGTGATCCGTGTTCGATCGTCGCGCAAGTACTACTAGGCTCCGGTTGGCCCCATGTACAGTAAGCATACTCTCATCTCCCTTGTATATGGTACATCCAATGAATACGCTAGCCGTGGTGCAAAGTCTACTCCAGGTGAAGCAGATTCAATACTGTGCGTCGTTGTTGACCCGTCGGTAGGCTTGAATGCTGCCTGTTATATAGTTTGTCATTCCTTGCGCTTTGGACAAATCACCATATCGATTGCGTATCTTAAGACTAATATAGTAGGCTATCAATTGACGATTTAAGTGATTACTCATCCATCTCCTCGCGGGCGAATTTGATGACCGTATTGCTGTCATCGATTATAAGGACACCTGCGGCGATGTACGAGTTCAGACACATCTCAAAGTTGCTTTGGGTGAAGTCTCGGCCCAACACAGCTTTCTTCGCCTTATCGTAGCTGTGAAAATAGAAAAAACCCCCAAATTGATTGCTTTTTGTTAGTCAAACAGTGCGGGTCCCACATGTATATGTGCAAGGGACAGCGAGCTTGTGATGTCATCATGCGCGAAATCTCATGTTCTGAACTTATCGACTGCCTTGAGATATCTAGTGGGTATACCACACACTCCGCGGAGCTTGTGCATACAAGTGCTGTCATTCACACGTCTACAACCATGTCTCAACATAATAAACGTGGCAAGCCTTTCTGATTCAAGTACACACCTGATAATCTTGTGGGGCGTGCGTTCTAGCAGATTACGGACTATATCGAAAATGTCGTTGATTATGGTACCCGGATTGCGTTTCTTGGTGTTCTTTTCCATATCCTCAAGTGACGCTTTAGACACGTTGATCAATCGGAATGCCTCATCTACGTCTTCTTCCTCAATCGCAGGGGCAAAGCGGAGACGCGCCTAGTAGAGGACAAGAACCAACAGGACATTAGGTAGTGATATATATGACATCAAGACACACCGGTTTTATAAGCGTAGTTGTATACTGACATGGAAATGGCAAGGAATTCACAACTCACGCAACTTCATGCAGTACACATAAAGGCATGCTGCATCCACAAGCACACTTGTGCAAAAATACGTAAACAATACGTTTTGGTATGTGATGTTAAAGTAAAGTAGACCGTAAACACTTACCCTGGCTGTGGACAGACGAAGAATTGCCAGCAGCGAACGGGGTGTGGCCTTGATGCCGAACTGTTCCGAGTGCTGTTGTCGCATCAGTGAGTACTCTTCCACTATCCTCTCCGCCAATCTTGCTGGCACTGTGGGGGTGAGCTCCTTTGCCATTATCATGTATGCTCTGTAAGAGACGCAGGGTAGTTTGGTATCAGGAATTGCGCGTATGGGGGTATTTTCTTATGGAATAAACAAAGTAGAATTATCCCACGTGTATAAATCCATACGGTCAATTGAATTTTGATATTCGAGATCGAAATGCTTGTCCATAGTATGAAACTGATAAAATATATACAAGGCGACATACCTGATCATCTCCCCATCAACAGGCTCAAACCCCAGCTCAGGCGGCCTGAGGTTTGTGTGTACGTGAGCAACGTGCTCAGCCAGGCGGCGATCCTGTGTATTGTCCGGTCGATCAAGTAAAAGAAATAGCAGATCGAATCTGCAGTGTGTCCGCAGTTAAGGACATGCGTGAGTACAGAACTATCAAAGAGAAAGTTGCCGCAGTGTACGTGCCATGACTGAGAAGAAGCTTTAAGCAGACTCGCGGTAAAGATAAGGCGAATCAAATCAATGTGACTGGAGTACAAAACGAACACAACTCCCACCACCGGACATCCAACACAGGTACACGGCACCATAGCTCTAGCTCGCTTACCGTGAGAGCAGGGCTGTGGGCAGATTGATGTTCTCTGTGATGCTCTTGCTGACATTGTACCGTCCGTACAGAGGGTTAGCCGCCGCAAGGATGGCTGCGCGGGCGTTGAGTGTGGTGGTAATACCGGCCTTGGCAATTGAGATGGTCTGCTGTTCCATGACTTCGTAGATGGCTGTGCGATCGCTTTCGTCCATCTTATCGAACTCATCAATGGCACACACACCCTCGTCGGCCAGCACCAGCGCACCTCCCTCTGTGGAATGTAATAAAGTGTGTAAAGTGGATTAGTACACTCTTTGAGTGGATTCAGCAAGCAAACGTGTACTCGTATGTACTCCCGTGGAAATCTAAATAATAAAACATCGATTTTTTCGAAATTCCTATTCGACAGAGATTTTTTTGCCACCAACCAGTACATACCCAGCACAAGCTCGTCCGTAACCACATCGCGCGTAATAGCCGCCGTGAGACCCACGCCACTACTTCCTCTACCCGTTGTGTATATACCACGCGGTGATAATGAGCACAGATGCCGCAGCAACTGACTCTTGGCAACTCCAGGATCTCCCATGAGACATATGTTGATGTCTCCTCGAATCTTCATGCCATCGTCCAATGCTCGTGCACTACCCCCCGCGAGTGACAAGATGAGTGCCTTCTTTATGTCTTCGTGCCCGAAAATCTCTGGTGCAATCGACTGGGCGAGCTTGTCGTACCAGTCCTCATCTAATAGGGAGGGCGAGAAACGGACGTTAATAGGGGTGTGTGTAGATGTGAAAGTGTATTCGGATCAATTTGCGCGTGCAGTTTCTAGCGAATGTGCTGATGCGATTTTATGTGCTCGTACATTACGCGCAATCTTGCCGTTTTTGTATATACATCTGAATACAATTTGTCTCCCTTCTGTGGTACGTTTGAAGCTTATCCGTGTATGTATGCATTGTTATGCCCAAACATATTGCGCTCGCCAGGTACCTCGAGAATATCTCCAGCGCGTCTGCACGTATACCCGTTGAAACTCTGCACTAATCTTAAGGTTTGCCAGTATCATGAACATCGCTCTAAAACAATATGCATCCCCATACCTCAGACGCCCACTCACAAATCGAAGCGAGGACTTTGGTGGTTAATTACCATCAACGACAACACCCACACTACCCACCACAGCATAATTCAATCGCAAATCTTGTACAGGTAGAGCCCTTACCTTGTCGAAACTCCAACACTTTCGCTCTCATCTCGTCAGATACAACGTTCTTAGCGGCGCCCTGTTGCTTCATGAGTTTGATATCATGGGCTTGCAGGTATGTGCCAGCCACCAGACCCACACGGATGGCGTTGAATCCAGACAGAACTGTGGGGAGGTAGCACCCAGTGATCTCTACCACATCTCCTGGCTTGGCAATACGGGTGGCTCCGTCCTATATGGGTGGGTGACGGCACGACATGAATATCGTACACAGATGGATGAATTTAATAATCTAATTTCACTCTCGTATATGCATTTCGTCAGAAAGCTTACACGCAGCGACACATTAACGCATCAGCTTAGACATACAGCCTTCCATATACACAGCCATA